GTGGCACAGAGTGTGGCGATGGAGACAGCAGCAATGGGAGGCCGTACAGGGACCCATGAGAGACTGGGACCTGGCAGCAGCATGAGGAGGCGGTACAGGGGCCCATGGCAGATTAGGGGCCTGGCAGCAGCTATGGGAGGCCCGTAATCTGCCAGCACCCTATGACAAAAAATGGAACACACACCAGCAGTGTGAGGAGACCTGAAAGTGGCACATGGCAGAGTGTGGCGATGGAGACAGCAGCAATGGGAGGCCGTACAGGGACCCATGAGAGACTCTGGACCTGGCAGCAGCATGAGGAGGCGGTATAGGGGCCCATGGCAGATTAGGGGCCTGGCAGCAGCTATATGGGGCCCGTAATCTGCCAGCACCCTATGACAAAAAATGGAACACACCAGCAGTGTGAGGAGACCTGAAAGTGGCACATGGCAGAGTGTGGCGATGGAGACAGCAGCAATGGGAGGCCGTACAGGGACCCATGAGAGACTCTGGACTTATGCAGCAGCAGCATGAGGAGGCGGTATAGGGGGGCCCATGGCAGATTAGGGGCCTGGCAGCAGCTATGGGAGGCCCGTAATCTGCCAGCACCCTATGACAAAAAATGGAACACACCAGCAGTGTGAGGAGACCTGAAAGTGGCACATGGCAGAGTGTGGCGATGGAGACAGCAGCAATGGGAGGCCGTACAGGGACCCATGAGAGACTCTGGACCTGCAGCAGCATGAGGAGGCGGTACAGGGGCCCATGGCAGATTAGGGGCCTGGCAGCAGCTATGGGAGGCCCGTAATCTGCCAGCACCCTATGACAAAAAATGGAACACACACCAGCAGTGTGAGGAGACCTGAAAGTGGCACATGGCAGAGTGTGGCGATGGAGACAGCAGCAATGGGAGGCCGTACAGGGACCCATGACAGACTCTGGACCTGCAGCAGCATGAGGAGGCGGTATAGGGGCCCATGGCAGATTAGGGGCCTGGCAGCAGCTATGGGAGGCCCGTAATCTGCCAGCACCCTATGACAAAAAATGGAACACACCAGCAGTGTGAGGAGACCTGAAAGTGGCACATGGCAGAGTGTGGGCGATGGAGACAGCAGCAATGGGAGGCCGTACAGGGACCCATGAGAGACTCTGGACCTGGCAGCAGCATGAGGAGGCGGTATAGGGGCCCATGGCAGATTAGGGGCCTGGCAGCAGCTATGGGAGGCCCCGTAATCTGCCAGCACCCTATGACAAAAAATGGAACACACCAGCAGTGTGAGGAGACCTGAAAGTGGCACATGGCAGAGTGTGGCGATGGAGACAGCAGCAATGGGAGGCCGTACAGGGACCCATGAGACACTCTGGACCTGGCAGCAGCATGAGGAGGCGGTACAGGGGCCCATGGCAGATTAGGGGCCTGGCAGCAGCTATGGGAGGCCCGTAATCTGCCAGCACCCCCTATGACAAAAAATGGAACACACCAGCAGTGTGAGAGAGACCTGAAAGTGGCACATGGCAGAGTGTGGCGATGGAGACAGCAGCAATGGGAGGCCGTACAGGGACCCATGAGAGACTCTGGACCTGGCAGCAGCATGAGGAGGCGGTATAGGGGCCCATGGCAGATTAGGGGCCTGGCAGCAGCTATGGGAGGCCCGTAATCTGCCAGCACCCTATGACAAAAAATGGAACACACCAGCAGCAGTGTGAGGAGACCTGAAAGTGGCACATGGCAGAGTGTGGCGATGGAGACAGCAGCAATGGGAGGCCGTACAGGGACCCATGAGAGACTCTGGACCTGGCAGCAGCATGAGGAGGCGGTATAGGGGCCCATGGCAGATTAGGGGCCTGGCAGCAGCTATGGGAGGCCCGTAATCTGCCAGCACCCTATGACAAAAAATGAACACACCAGCAGTGTGAGGAGACCTGAAAGTGGCACATGGCAGAGTGTGGCGATGGAGACAGCAGCAATGGGAGGCCGTACAGGGACCCATGAGAGACTCTGGACCTGGCAGCAGCATGAGGAGGCGGTACAGGGGCCCATGGCAGATTAGGGGCCTGGCAGCAGCTATGGGAGGCCCGTAATCTGCCAGCACCCTATGTCAAAAAATGGAACACACCAGCAGTGTGAGGAGACCTGAAAGTGGCACATGGCAGAGTGTGGCGATGGAGACAGCAGCAATGGGAGGCCGTACAGGGACCCCATGAGAGACTCTGGACCTGGCAGCAGCATGAGGAGGCGTATAGGGGCCCATGGCAGATTAGGGGCCTGGCAGCAGCTATGGGAGGCCCGTAATCTGCCAGCACCCTATGACAAAAAATGGAACACACCAGCAGTGTGAGGGAGACCTGAAAGTGGCACATGGCAGAGTGTGGCGATGGAGACAGCAGCAATGGGAGGCCGTACAGGGACCCATGAGAGACTCTGGACCTGGCAGCAGCATGAGGAGGCGGTATAGGGGCCCATGGCAGATTAGGGGCCTGGCAGCAGCTATGGGAGGCCCGTAATCTGCCAGCACCCTATGACAAAAAATGGAACACACCAGCAGTGTGTGAGGAGACCTGAAAGTGGCACATGGCAGAGTGTGGCGATGGAGACAGCAGCAATGGAGGCCGTACAGGGACCCATGAGAGACTGGACCTGGCAGGCATGAGGGCGCAGGGGCCCATGGCAGATTAGGGGCCTGGCAGCAGCTATGGGAGGCCCGTAATCTGCCAGCACCCTATGACAAAAAATTGAACACACCAGCAGTGTGAGGAGACCTGAAAGTGGCACATGGCAGAGTGTGGCGATGGAGACAGCAGCAAATGGGAGGCCGTACAGGGACCCATGAGAGACTCTGGACCTGGCAGCAGCATGAGGAGGCGGTATAGGGGCCCATGGCAGATTAGGGGCCTGGCAGCAGCTATGGGAGGCCCGTAATCTGCCAGCACCCTATGACAAAAAATGGAACACACCAGCAGTGTGAGGAGACCTGAAAGTGGCACATGGCAGCAGAGTGTGGCGATGGAGACAGCAGCAATGGGAGGCCGTACAGGGACCCATGAGAGACTCTGGACCTGGCAGCAGCATGAGGAGGCGGTATAGGGGCCCATGGCAGATTAGGGGCCTGGCAGCAGCTATGGGAGGCCCGTAATCTGCCAGCACCCTATGACAAAAAATGGAACACACCAGCAGTGTGAGGAGACCTGAAAGTGGCACATGGCAGAGCATGGAGACAGCAGCAATGGGAGGCCGTACAGGGACCCATGGACTGTGGACCTGGCAGCAGCATGAGGAGGCGGTATAGGGGCCCATGGCAGATTAGGGGCCTGGCAGCAGCTATGGGAGGCCCGTAATCTGCCAGCACCCTATGACAAAAAATGGAACACACCAGCAGTGTGAGGAGACCTGAAAGTGGCACATGGCAGAGTGTGGCGATGGAGACAGCAGCAATGGGAGGCCGTACAGGGACCCATGAGAGACTCTGGACCTGGCAGCAGCATGAGGAGGCGGTATAGGGGGCCCATGGCAGATTAGGGGCCCTGGCAGCAGCTATGGGAGGCCCGTAATCTGCCAGCACCCTATGACAAAAAATGGAACACACACAGCAGTGTGAGGAGACCTGAAAGTGGCACATGGCAGAGTGTGGCGAGAGACAGAAAGTGGCACATGGACCCATGAGAGACTGTGGACCTGGCAGCAGCATGAGGAGGCGGTACAGGGGCCCATGGCAGATTAGGGGCCTGGCAGCAGCTATGGGAGGCCCGTAATCTGCCAGCACCCTATGACAAAAAATGGAACACACCAGCAGTGTGAGGAGACCTGAAAGTGGCATGGCAGAGTGTGGCGATGGAGACAGCAGCAATGGGAGGCCGTACAGGGACCCATGAGACCTCTGGACCTGGCAGCAGCAGCAGGCAGCAGCATGAGGAGGCGGTATAGGGGCCCATGGCAGATTAGGGCCTGGCAGCAGCTATGGGAGGCCCGTAATCTGCCAGCACCCCCTATGACAAAAAATGGAACACACCAGCAGTGTGAGGAGACCTGAAAGTGGCACATGGCAGAGTGTGGCGATGGAGACAGCAGCAATGGGAGGCCGTACAGGGACCCATGAGAGACTCTGGACCTGGCAGCAGCATGAGGAGGCGGTATAGGGGCCCATGGCAGATTAGGGGCCCTGGCAGCAGCTATGGGAGGCCCCGTAATCTGCCAGCACACCCTATGACAAAAAATGGAACACACCAGCAGTGTGAGGAGACCTGAAAGTGGCACATGGCAGAGACACTGTGGGACCTGGAGACAGCAGCAATGAGGAGGCCGTACAGGGACCCATGAGAGACTGGCAGCAGCATGAGGAGGCGGTATAGGGGCCCCATGGCAGATTAGGGGCCTGGCAGCAGCTATGGGGGAGGCCCGTAATCTGCCAGCACCCTATGACAAAAAATGGAACACACCAGCAGTGTGAGGAGACCTGAAAGTGGCACATGGCAGAGTGTGGCGATGGAGACAGCAGCAATGGGAGGCCGTACAGGGACCCATGAGAGACTCTGGACCTGGCAGCAGCATGAGGAGGCGGTATAGGGGGCCCATGGCAGATTAGGGGCCTGGCAGCAGCTATGGGAGGCCCGTAATCTGCCAGCACCCTATGACAAAAAATGGAACACACCAGCAGTGTGTGAGAGACCTGAAAGTGGCACATGGCAGAGTGTGGCGATGGAGACAGCAGCAATGGGAGGCCGTACAGGGACCCATGAGAGACTCTGGACCTGGCAGCAGCATGAGGAGGCGGTATAGGGGCCCATGGCAGATTAGGGGCCTGGCAGCAGCTATGGGAGGCCCGTAATCTGCCAGCACCCTATGACAAAAAATGGAACACACCAGCAGTGTGAGGAGACCTGAAAGTGGCACATGGCAGAGTGTGTGGACCTGGCAGCAGCAGCAATGGAGGCCGTACAGGGACCCATGAGAGACTCTGGGGCAGCAGCATGGGAGGCAGCCCATGGCAGATTATGGCAGCAGCTATGGGAGGCCCGTAATCTGCCAGCACCCTATGACAAAAAATGGAACACACCAGCAGTGTGAGGAGACCTGAAAGTGGCACATGGCAGAGTGTGGCGATGGAGACAGCAGCAATGGGAGGCCGTACAGGGACCCATGAGAGACTCTGGACCTGGCAGCAGCATGAGGAGGCGGTACAGGGGCCCATGGCAGATTAGGGGCCTGGCAGCAGCTATGGGAGGCCCGTAATCTGCCAGCACCCTATACAAAAAATGGAACACACCAGCAGTGTGAGGAGACCTGAAAGTGGCACATGGCAGAGTGTGGCGATGGAGACAGCAGCAATGGGAGGCCGTACAGGGACCCATGAGAGACTCTGGACCTGGCAGCAGCATGAGGAGGCGGTATAGGGGCCCATGGCAGATTAGGGGCCTGGCAGCAGCTATGGGGAGGCCCGTAATCTGCCAGCACCCTATGACAAAAAATGGAACACACCAGCAGTGTGAGGAGACCTGAAAGTGGCACATGGCAGAGTGTGGCGATGGAGACAGCAGCAATGGGAGGCCGTACAGGGACCCATGAGAGACTCTGGACCTGGCAGCAGCATGAGGAGGCGGTACAGGGGCCCATGGCAGATTAGGGGCCTGGCAGCAGCTATGGGAGGCCCGTAATCTGCCAGCACCCTATGACAAAAAATGGAACACACCAGCAGTGTGAGGAGACCTGAAAGTGGCACATGGCAGAGTGTGGCGATGGAGACAGCAGCAATGGGAGGCCGTACAGGGACCCATGAGAGACTCTGGACCTGGCAGCAGCATGAGGAGGCGGTATAGGGGCCCATGGCAGATTAGGGGCCTGGCAGCAGCTATGGGAGGCCCGTAATCTGCCAGCACCCTATGACAAAAAATGGAACACACCAGCAGTGTGAGGAGACCTGAAAGTGGCACATGGCAGAGTGTGGCGATGGAGACAGCAGCAATGGGAGGCCGTACAGGGACCCATGAGAGACTCTGGACCTGGCAGCATGATGAGGAGGCGGTACAGGGGCCCATGGCAGATTAGGGGCCTGGCAGCAGCTATGGGAGGCCCGTAATCTGCCAGCACCCTATGACAAAAAATGGAACACACCAGCAGTGTGAGGAGACCTGAAAGTGGCACATGTTTGGGGGCATGATTCATGGCGGATTTAGTCAGTTGTGTCAGGAACTGGTGGTTTGAAATCCAGACTAATCCACGCCTGATTCATTTTCACAAACGTGAGTCTCTCCACACTTTGGGTGGACAGTCGTGTCCTCCGCGGTTACAATACCTCCTGCCGCACTAAACACGCGCTCCGATGCCACGCTACTGGCCGGGCATGACAGCCTTTCAAGGGCAAATTCAGCTAGTTGGGGCCAAAGGTCAAAGTTTCGTTGCCCAGTAGTCAAGGGGATTGTCTACCTCGGTTGGCAGGGTGCTGTCCAAGTAGGCCCAAGCCTGTTGTTTGAGGTCCTGCTCCAGGTCCACCTGATGCTGCTGCTGCTGCTGCGGCTGGTTAGTAGTTTTCCTCACTGCGCTGGTGAAGAAAGCTACTCATCATCGACTGCAGACTGAGGCAGCCGCTGCTGGTGGAGCTGCCACTGCTCCTACCACCCCCCACCCCTCCCCTGCTGCCATGGCAGCGGAACGCGAGCGCACAGGGCCCACAGTGTCTGAGGATGGACGTTGGCGCAGAAAGGCAGAGACCAACTGACTACATAGGTGGTTTTTATAGTACGTTATTTTGGCCTCCCTCTCAGCAGGTGTGTGAAAAAGGCCACCATTTTTGAACGGTAGCGAGGGTCCAACAAGGTGGACAGCCAAAAGTCATCCCTCTGTCTGATGGTTATTATTCGGCTGTCGCTACGCAAGCAACCGAGCATGCTATGGGCCATTTGTGCCAAGGAATGCGAGGGACTCCCTGCCTCCATCTCCCACAGCATACTGCCACGGTGCGTCTGGGTCTCTGTCTCCTCCTCCTCCTCCTCTACCAGATGCTCCTGCTCCTCCACTCCTGTCCGCTGAGTGGAAAAACCACCCATTTCACTCAATAATTCCTGAGCACAAATGTCCTCCTCTACCTCCTCCTCTTCTTCCTGTCCTGCCCCCACAGGGGTCATGTGGCGTTGAGATCTGTGCGCCACGTCTACCGCACCCTGACCAGCCATTGTTAACAGCATTTGTTCCAGGACGTGCAACAGAGGAATGACGTCGTTCATCCCATAGTCCTGCCGACTCACGAATAGCGTGGCCTCCTCAAAAGGGCCTGAGCAAGCGGCAGGTGTCACGCATGAGCTGCCAATGGCTGACATCGAAGTTACACAGGGGAGTACCTTTATCCGCTTGTAACATCAGGAAATCGGTGATGGCCTTTCGCGCTGTTCGTAAAGGCGGTCTAACATGTGTAGGGTTGAATTCCACCTTGTTGCAACGTCGCAGATCAGGCGATGCTGTGGAATTCCGTTCTGCCGCTGCAGCTCAAGGAGGGTGTGTGCTTTGCGGTGTAGGAATGGCTGAAAATGCATGCAAAGTTTACGTGACATTTTAAGGATGTCTTGCAGTGGGATGGTGGATTTTTAGGAACCGCTTGACAACCAGATTGAACACGTGAGCCATGCATGGCGCATGGCACAACCTTCCTTGACGCAGAGCAGCAGACACCATGTTCTTTCCGTTGTCGTCAAACATGGTTCCGATTTTCAGTTTGCGCGGAGACAGCCATCTGTCGATTTCTCTCTGTTCATTACACACTGAGAAGTTCCTCCCCTGTGTGACTACGTTCGCCAAGGCATACCAGGTGCAGCACAGCGTGACACCGTTGCGCCCTGCACATGTGATATGCCGGTCGGGTAATGGGACTTGGCACGGGGGTGGCGGCTGAGGACACGGCGGAAGAAGAGGTGGTAGAGGCGGACATCTTTGCCGGACCAAGGACGTGCAAACGTGGAGGCAAAAGCGGCGTGACCTGTCCAAGTTGCTGGTGCTGCGCTGCTGTGACGGCACCACGTTCACCCAGTGGGCCGTAAAATGACATGTACTGTCCCTGACCGTAGTTACAGCTCCACACGTCGGCGCTGCCGTGCACTTTGGCAGAGACCGACATGCTCAAAGACTGGCCCACCATCTCTTCTACATGTGAATGCAGGGCTGGCACTGCCTTTTTGGCGAAGAAAAATGACGGCTTGGCACTCTCCACCGCGGCGCGGCACAAGCCATCATTTCTCGGAAAGGTGCTGAGTCCACCACTTGGAAAGGGAGGGACTGCAGCACCAGCAACTTGGACAGGGACAGGAGGACGTTCAGCTTTTGCACCGTCGGGTGCGTGCTCGCAAACTGTTGTCTCTTGGAAACGGATTCCAAGAAAGACTGCTGACGGAATCCGTGAAGAGGAGGAGTAGCAGGAGAAGGAGCATCTGAACGAGCGGAAGATGCCAACGAGCGACAACTCCCCTCAGCAGAGGTGTTGGAGCCTTGACTGGCTGATAGAGGGCGATTGACGTCGGGTGACGGAGCAAGTAACGGAGCGGGTGATGGAGGGGGGCTGGGGCGGGCAGAACCGCCGTATCTTTATCACGGTTTTCCCAGGCCACCAAATGGCGACGCTGCATATGCTGCCGCAACGCTGTAGTCCCAACATGGGCCCCCTGGCCACGCTTGACTTTCTGGCCACATAGTCGACATACGGCTACGTTTACTTCCTCGGGCGGGCCGGCTTGACAAAAAAATTGCCACACCCGCCGAGTAGGAAACTTTGCCCCCGATACTCCTCACTGGCTGACTGCTGCTTCCTCCGTGCACACCGGCACCACTACTGGCCGTGGTGGTAGGCTGCAGTGGAGCTGGTGCTCTACTCCGTGGCCGTTTGCCTCCACTGACACTGCTGCGCGACCCTGCTGCCTCCTGGGCAACCCACCGACTGTTTTGCTCGCTGCCAAGCTGCCACCCTCTTCTCCTGATGATGCGGAAGCAATAGCCTGATGACGACGAGGCTGCCAAGTGCGATCAGCCTCATCATCATCAATTAGGGTCTCCGCCTCACTACTAGCCCCCTCGGCTGCGTGTGGGTCAGGAGACAGACCTGTCTCTAGACCGGCTACCGAGCCACTCTCCTCGCCACTACTTTCGCCTGGCTGCTGAAGAGGCGGATGTCTCCCCCCGTTCCTGACCGCCCTCTGTTAGCTCTTCCTCACTGTACAGTGGGGCTGAGCCCACAGCATGCGATACTTCGCTTGGTGAGGGAACACCAAAGGACAGGGGCAGGTAGAGGACACGTGATTTCAGTGGGCTTGCTCCCGGGCCATGCCAACCAACTAACGGTTGTGTCTGACGTACCCACCGACCGTTGGCTGTAGGTGTCAGAGGTGACCTGGGAAGAGGAAGACGACCGAGCCAACCAATCGATGACGGCAGGGTTGTCGGTGGAGACACGACCGCTGGATGACACCGGGAGCACTGGCCTCTGGCTGCGACTAGTGCTGCCCCCTCGACCCCTTCCTCTGCTGCCACGTGCTCGCTCGCTCCTAAAAACATTGCCTCCTCTGCCACTCCTATGCATGTTGTCTGACATACTCTTTAATTCAACGATTCTGTGTCCCTGAGTAACATTCTGTGTCCCTGAGTAACAATTCTGTGTCTGTCCCTGAGTAACAATTCTGTGTCCCTCAGTAACAATTCTGTGTCCCTCAGTAACAATTCTGTGTCCCTCAGTAACAATTCTGTGTCTGTCTGAGTAACAATTCTGTGTCCCCTGAGTAACAATTCTGTGTCCCTGAGTAACAATTCTGTGTCCCTGAGTAACAATTCTGTGTCCCCTGTAACAATTCTGTGTCCCTCAGTAACAATTCTGTGTCCCCCTCAGTAACAATTCTGTGTCCCCTGAGTAACAATTCTGTGTCTGTCCCTGAGTAACAATTCTGTCTGTCCCTGTGTCTGTGTCCCTGAGTAACAATTCTGTGTCTGTCCCCTGAGTAACAATTCTGTGTCCCTCAGAGTAACAATTCTGTGTCCCTGAGTAACAATTCTGTGTCCCTGAGTAACAATTCTGTGTCCCTCCCCTGAGTAACAATTCTGTGTCCCTGAGTAACAATTCTGTGTCCCTCAGTAACAATTCTGTGTCCCCTGAGTAACAATTCTGTGTCCCTGAGTAACAATTCTGTGTCCCCTCAGTAACAATTCTGTCCCTCAGTAACCCCCCCAGTAACAATTCTGTGTCCCCCTGAGTAACAATTCTGTGTCCCCCTGAGTAACAATTCAATTCTGTGTCCCTCAGTAACAATTCTGTGTCCCTCAGTAACAATTCTGTGTCCCTCAGTAACAATTCTGTGTCCCCAGTAACAATTCTGTGTCCCCTCAGTAACAATTCTGTGTCCCTCAGTAACAATTCTGTGTCCCCTCAGTAACAATTCTGTGTCTGTCCCTCAGTAACAATTCTGTGTCCCCTGAGTAACAATTCTGTGTCCCTCAGTAACAATTCTGTGTGTCCCTGAGTAACAATTCTGTGTCCCTCAGTAACAATTCTGTGTCCCTCAGTAACACAATTCTGTGTCCCTGAGTAACAATTCTGTGTCCCTCAGTAACAATTCTGTGTCCCTGAGTAACAATTCTGTGTGTCCCTCAGTAACAATTCTGTGTCTGTCCCTGAGTAACAATTCTGTGTCTGTGTAACAATTCTGTGTCCCTGAGTAACAATTCTGTGTCCCTCAGTAACAATTCTGTGTCCCTCAGTAACAATTCTGTGTCTGTCCCTGAGTAACAATTCTGTGTCCCTCAGTAACAATTCTGTGTCCCTCAGTAACAATTCTGTGTCTGTCCCTGAGTAACAAT